GAGACTAAAGGATTTACTTTTATGTCATACTTCCACTCTCATCCACTTCTACTTTAATGCCCATATGTTGAGCACATGAAAAAATTGTAATGTTGACTTAGCTTATGGAATAATGTGGATCACAAATGCCCAGCAAGCAAACTACATACCCCACTTCTTCAGTCAGACTGACAAGAGAGCTTGGCAGTGCTTTGAACAAGTACTTTTATTTAGTATGTTTATATGAATACATAGGGCCTAATGCACTACTAGTTCCTGTGATCGTTCCTCCACACTATCATTTACTCTTTGGCCTCTCCCCTCCTCAATTCAGATCCCAGAAACAAACTTTAAATTAGGGTAGAGGGGAATAAGGACATTAGTAGAGCATATTTAAAGCAATAGTAACAAGTAAATAAGGAACAAACACATTCCTGGGAGTAATGTTCATTTTCTTGCTTTAACATGATGAGATAGCTCTCATCCCCATTTGTCAAGATGTCTCACTGTAATTCATCAATATCTCTTCAGAGACCCCTATTTCCTCTGTCATTTAAAGAGAAGTTGGCAATTTCATAGTCTTTTTCCCAGGAGGTCTTCAGTTCCACACTGCTTCGTTTGAATGAAGTTAGAAGTGTGTTATTTGCTTATGCACATGAGCCTGGGGTATGTTCCATAGCTCCACAGATCATGTAAGCAAGAACACAGTTGCAGTTGTCATAAAAGCAGAAAAACTGAAAGCCATGAAAGTAACATCAAATTCAGCTCCATTGCATGGGTGAGGTGGATTGCTCAGGCAGGTGATGGATTTGGAAATAAATTCCACAAACTAACTAATAAAGTCTTAAAGACTTATTTACTTTCTTAATTTCTTTTTTGCATTTATATATTTTTATTGAGGAATGTTTTACACTAGAGTTCCCTACTGACTAAGTTTCAGGTACAAAAACATTGACAGCTTCTTATCAAAAACTACAGGTACAATATTCATTTCCTCAATTTAATACAGACTTTCCACCACTTTTCATATTGCTGTTCTGAGTGAAAAATCCTATAGATCAAAGGCCATGAGGGACAAGTACATCATCTCTCTCTCTCTTAGGCACATTCTATGATCTTTCTATAAAAGTAAGCTGACAGAAACCTTATTTCCAGCAGTCTCACCACAAAATAGAGAACTCACTCCCAATGCTACATTTCAACTGACTAATCCAATTAGCGTAAATCTATTTACATAAATCTAAGCACAGGCACTCTCACTGAGGCCTGCATATATTATGTCAAGGAACATTTACCAGGCTAAACTACATTGTTTCCTCCATGCACAACCTGGGCAACTAGATAAGGTTATGCTTTCCTTTAGCATCAAGATTACCCTAGAATGCAAAAAAGTCCATATTCGAAGCTGTTGAAGAATAATAGTTGACCCAGTGTTTTGCATTTTGAGTGAACATTCACACTTACCAGCATACTTGAAAACAAAACCTGAAATTCTATCCACTCACCCAAAGAGTCTTTAGTTGTTCGATATGAGGCAAAATTTTGACAATAAACATTTGTTGATAAATATCATAAGATCTTACTTTAGGAATTATAATACAAAGTCATAATCACACATAAATATCAATATTACTATTATAAGGGAAGGAAGTTTCAAACAGACACATAAAATTTTGTTCACAAAGGATATCAGAATAAACAACTTCATTTTTACTCATATTGTCCATATTAGTTATATCTCCTTGTTTCCCTCATGTGGATCAGATGACAACAGCAAAACCTTGCCTCATAGTCTAGAGATGCTGACAGTCTTCAGCATCAGCAGAGTAGCTAGTGGATGGTAAATATGTAACTGTGGCTCTAAGTATACCTCAATATCAGTATGAAATCATGTTTCTCTCCTGGTAAAAGATTTATCTGTCAAAATGGTTCATGAAAACAAACATATCTAATGTCACAAAATCTATGTGTGTTCAACTTTTCATTCATTCATTTTTATGTGCTCTTGAATATGTGTGTGACAGTTTATGTGTGTTAGTATATTGTACTTTGAACAAGTTTGTGTGCTGGCAAATGTGTGTGTACTTGTATATGTGTGGATGTGTGGTCATACACATTTGTGTGATTGTGTGTGACAGTGTGCAAACATACTTTAACATATAGAATGAAGGAGAATTTATCATGAAAGACTCTTTCAGATCAAAACACCTAGGAAAGAATGTCCATGTCATATACAAAGTGACCAACACATAAGTTTGACTATCAGCATCCAAGATATCTTTGACAATGGATAAATTCCCCTACTCCAAATTCTGTCATTAAGGATGAACACTGGACTGGTTGCATGTAGATCTTACACTCATCAAAGCATTTTCTGAATGTCCTAGCTTGCACTAAGGAACAGTTTCTTGATATTGGATATAAGCTAGTATATGCATTTAGATTTGTAAAAGGGGAAATTCTAACAATTTCTCTTATATGTTATTGCCACAACTTTCTCTTTTTTCAAATGTGCATTCAAAGTAATGATTTTTTTAATAAGAAGGTGACACTACTATACATAATAAGGAATACACTGTAAACCGTTTCTCCAGAAGCAAAAATGGGTTTTGCAGAATTATTTACACTACAGTTCCGCTGGGTCTTCTAGTTAGCTGATAACCGTTGTTCAGGAAAAGGCTGGCTAGGGTGAGTGGTGCAGTCTATGTAAACGGACACACATGGGGTTTAGAAACCATGTGACCATAGTTCTTTAGCACCATGCTCGAACCCACAGAGCTAAATGGCTGCACATGGGTTAGAGCCTAGGATCTAGAGCTCATTAGCACCATGTTCCAACCAAATGAGCCCCCCAGCCAGAAACTTCTTACAATGTAGCACCCTCATACTTGGCTGGGTACTGAGTTCAGATTAACTGCTGCTGGAAAAAATCTACACATAGCCCCACATGAGATTCAGACTATTCATATGCCCAATTCTTCAAACATCCCATACATCACCAAAACTGTTGCGTAAAGTTCTGTTAGTGTATACTTTCCAGCCAAGTCATCAGCAAACATTAAAGCTGCATTATCTGCCAAGCATGGAACATTCCAGATTTCCCAGCTTTACTGAAGGTGAAAGAAGCTTGATTCTCTGTAGAGAATAGGGATAGGAATATAGAGGGGTTTTCCTAGGAAGGATAGAACATCAGGTAAACATGTAATAGCGCAATAATAATTCAAATTACAGTAGCCCTTTTACCCAAATTTCTCCTACATTTAAACAGGAGAAGGAGGATATCAGAGCAAGTTACAATTTGACTAAGAAGCACAGGGTAGTCAAGAAAAATTGTACTCTGCCTTCCCCATGTGAGGAGGCATACAGCCCATTGTCCTAGGGCCTATCCTACCAAAAGGAGAACTAAAAGGAAAGTAGTATCTCTGTCCTTAGGAAAATGAGAAGGATTTACATAGGAGGAAGAAAAAGACATAAGCAGAGCTCACTACTCACAGAGACTACTAATTCCCAAAACAGCTTACGCCAAAAGGAGAGTATAGGTAGATGGGCAGTTTACAGTGGTCACAATTGAAGTCATCTATTCAGACTAAATCTACTTCAAATATCTACTTCTGTACGTTAGTAGTAAAAGTTCAATGTTTTTTGTCTCAAGTCTGATGTTAATGGTAGGAAGGGAACAGAGATAAAAGATGAAATGAAAAGGATGGTTTGAACTCCAGTTAGATATTTCCCCCAAATTTGTCCTTGATCTGAAAAGAAATGCAACACTATAGCCAGTGTGGAAATTCACTAGAAATATTTGAAGATCTGAATTAAAAAACCTACTCTTCTTGTCACCAAGTGAGACCAGAGTAGCCAGAAGCTAACTCTGGTTAATCTGCTTCCTGATCCTAGATGCCAGCATACCCCTTACCAGTAGATAGCTCAGTGGAGACTGAATAGCATGTCATTATTAAGAAGGTGATAAAAACAAAGAGAAGATATTGGAGGAGAAAGAAATGGAAACTGAGTAGGGAGAGAAAGAGGAAAAGAATGAGGACATGGTGGAAAAAGAGGAGGGAGGAAAATGTGGTCAAAGGCAAGGGAAGAAAAGAAGAGGGGACCAGGAGGAGACAAAAGGGAATGAAGGTGATGGAGAAGATAATGAGAATAAGTCCAGTTCTCATCATGGTATCACCTTGACACCTACAACCACAGATACTCTTCAAAGAGCCTTAATAACATTGCCTCCAGAATAATGACAGTAGCAGGAGAAGACATTACTTCCTCCTTCTCTCTCCTGCTGAGTTGAAATCACCTGCAGGCTAAAGAGACGGGAATAATTAAAACAACAGTGAGCACATTATATTTTTTTTTCCAGAAAGAGAAAGACAAAACCAGAGAACACAAATTTACATGAAACAAAGGGTGGATTGAGATTTTATAGTGCAAATTTGGGCACTTTAATTTTCAGTGCATTTAAAGAGAATCCATCACCAAATTGTTATACAGCAACGTGGGGAAGTAACTCTGATTTCACAGCAGTGAACCATTTCACTACCTTATCTTTTCCTGGACATTATTTGTTTCATTTCTCATTCTCATTATCACAGAAGAGATGATATGACTAACAACTTTCATTTACAAGGCGCTTTGAATTCCCAGAGCATCCAGTGAAACTTCTGGAACAATACATTTGTCTTCTATCATGGGATTTGCTTCTTGTCCATCTAAATAAAATTTTAAAAAGAGTATGTCGGGGCTTGTACTGCTCCCGAGGCCTGCATTATCAGTGGACAAGCACTATGAACCAGGGGGCACTCATGAACAGAAAAGGCAATTGGTAACCAGAAACAGAAATGGAGTTCTAGAAACCCCAAGTGAGTGTAGAATTTTCCTTTCAGTGGCAGAGCAATGCCTGCTGCTCTAATATTCTCAGGTTGCTCAGTTTTGAGAAAGAACAAAAACAGAAGAAAAAGAAGAGCATGAAACAAAAGCAGAGAAAAGGGAACAAAACGGTGAATGATATGTACAGTGGGGTCTCACAATCCCTATACCTCCAGTACTAATCTTTCCTTCTACATATACTCATGAGAAATGAATGAATCTTAGTTTATTTTGGTCCTATTATACCTTGGATATTTTGAGAATTGATAATCAATCGCGGTCTGGGCAGCTTAAACTCTAGGCACTGAGTAGAGAAAGGAGATTTCCACTGCTGGGGACGGAGGGGGACTGGGCAGTTCATCGAAATCTTTGAAGTGTGGGAATTTTGGCACTCCTGGATTGGGATTTACCCAGGCAGGGCGTTGGGTAGGTGATACAGAGCTCAGTCGGCGGTGTTCTCCCCTGAGGCGGCTGATTCTGTCTAGCAGCATCTTCTGGATTTCCATGATAACCTTCTGAACTTCGATCCGGAAGCTGTCACTGAGCCAGCAATAGATGTAGGGGTTGTAGCAGGAACTACTAATTGCAAGCCAGTGGAGAAAAAAGTAGAGACCATTGTGGCTTGAGATGGATTCGCTGGATAGCAGCACCAGATAGAGGTTGAGGGGGAGCCAGCTGATTGTATAGAGGAGCACCACTGTCATCAGCATCTTTAGGGTCTGCTTCTTCTTCCCACGCTGGCAGATGTAAGTGTGGATATTGATGTCATCGACAGCATCATGGATCCATAGCTTTTTGGCCACATGACCATAGACACCCACCAGCACCATCAATGGCAAGATGAAGAAGAGCAGAAAGGTGCTCAGGTCAATGTATTTCCATGTGGACTCTGAAGTATATGGGAAACTGGGGAGGCAGGCAGTTTCCTCAGTTATGTTTCTAGATTGTAAGAGAGAGAAAGAAAAACTATCCATTTATTATTTTTCTTAAGTTCCACAGCCAACTGCATGACAATTAGGACTTAAATAAAAGATATATTTGTTTAAAGTTTGTGTCTGTATCTGAATCTAAAGCCAGGAGGGCTGGGATTCACCTGATCCACACTTGTGTACCACATAGAAAAACTCTGGCCCCATAGGTGGAAATGATAAGCCGAATAACCCACTGCTTTTAGAGTTTTAGGGAATTCATGAAAAATTACAGTTTACAGAACTTTAATTTTCTACCCACATTGTGAAATGTGCTATTCCGGCCTCTAATTCATAAATTAATCCTCATGGCTTCCAAGGCCTCAGGTGGCTACAATACTAGCATTGATCATTCTGTGTTCCTCTTACCCAATCTCCACTTCATAAAGCTTCTGGTAAATGGCATGTGGCAAAGCAGCACAGGTGCTCACAATCCAGATGATAATGATGCAAACATTGCCTTGCATGGGACTAATCCGGGCCTTCAGGGGATAGAGCATCACCTGTAAAGAAAAGGAACCCACCCAGCTTAGTTCAGCAACTCAAAATTAGGGTTACTTATTAGACATTCATAAAGTGATCCTCTGATGAAAAGGTGCAAAGACTTGGTATGTATGTAGAAATGTGCTTTGTGTACTAGTTCATTTGGCATGTAATATAGCATTTATGAAAGCACAGTGTTGCTACATTTCAAGAAATCAGGAATCCAAGTGAACTCACTTCAGAGCTCCTGACTCTGTTAGCAATTCTGATTAACTATGCAATCTTCCCTGCTTCTCGTCCTCTGCCTCACTTCCTTTTAATAGGCTTCTAAGCGTCCTCCAAACTCTTTACTCCTCAACTCTCTTCATTCCCCCCACCTTTCAATTTCTCAACCTTGCCTCACAGAGTTCACTCATACCTTCCAGACTCGACCCATACTCAGACTTGAAGCCACATCTACTTTTAATCAACACTTTCCTCTTTCTTCCTTTAGCCAGTCCTGCAATGCAGCAAATAAGAAAGGTTTTCCAAAAGATAACATGTATGATTTTTTTTATTTCTAAATCTCTGTTCCTGTATAACCACAGAAGAAAAATGGACGCATTTTTATTACATTTGATTTGGTGAAGTTTATATTTCAGCACGTTACAATATCCCTAAATTATATATAAACACATTTCTTGTCTCAAGGACTCAGAAAACTTTCTACATTTGTGGTCTTCCTTGTCTCTGTATACCTAAAAGAAGACTAGCCTTTATGAGATCTGGGAAGCACATACCCGATGTCGGTCCAGGGAAATAGCAGCCATGCTCATCACAGTTACATAGGCACAAGAGTACTGGGCAAAGCGACTGAGGTGGCATGTCATCTTTCCAAACACCAAGGAATTACACAGATAGCGCACCTGTAGGAGAGAACGTTTGGTGACACAGGGACTCAGCCCTGTGTCCATCCCTCTCCAAAGCCCCCAAACACAAATCAAAGCCTCCTTGCTTCACCAAACTGCTGGCATTATTCTCTGAAGCAAAGAAATATTTTTCACACTGCAGGTCTCATGATCTTCCCATCATCTCCCCCACAACACTCTGGCTTGAAGATATGGAGGGACACTACATCACAAAAGCTGTTTATGACCTTCAAGCCCAAGCACAGCATTTGAAAAGTGGAGAAACTGAGGGTGAATTTGTGTGGCAAAACTTGGTATTCACATGTCAGCCCAAAGCTCACTTGCAACAGGTCCCTCAGCTTTCTGGGCAGCTCAAGACTCTCTGAGCCTCTGCCATGGCCAGATACTAATTCAGAAATTTAACAGCAATCCTGCCAGTCTGTTTGTTGTCCTCCTAACTCATTTCCAAGCTCTTTTCAAGGTTTCTTAGCCACTGTTCTAGTCCCTGTGCAAATATTCCCCAAATGAACCCTTTCCAGCACTCCCTCCCACCACAGAGCACTCACTGGTTGCAAATGCAAAGCGGTACCTTAGCTCTTGCCCTGCTCCCCAGGCCACCCTCCTCAGCACCCCATCTTACCATAGTGAAGGGAGAGCTGAGAAGAGCGAGCATCATGTTGGTCACAGAAATGTTGACAACGAAGAGGCCGGTGGCAGAGTGTACCCTCTTGTACTTCATAATTATATGGTTTAAGACCCAGTTTCCTACGATGGCAGCAAAGACCACTATGGTGTACCCTATCATTAGCCAGAACTGTACCTGCTCATCCTGAGATACAGTTTCCAAATCTAGGGGACCTGATGTGTCGGCCAGGTCACCTGTGTTTGGCATGTGGCCTGGCAGCTTATCCACCATGCCGTTGCGGCCAGTGCCCCCCACCGCAGATGCAGCATTGGAAATGGCCTGAAACAACTGGGAGGTGGTGGAGGTGATCAGATCATCATAGCCACTTGGCACACTCAGAGCTTCAGGAGTCAGCTCGTCTCCATAGCTCATGGTGCCAGGGCTAGGGAAAGTCCCTTGGGGCAGTTCTGTGGTGGGGGCGTCCATCCTGATGCCTTTAGTGGACCCTGAGGTCCTTAAGCTACTGGCTCAGGGGGCTCCCCAAGAAAGGAGAGGCGAGGTGAGGCCCTGGACAGAGATCCAGACAAGGTCTGCTCAAGGTGGAGCTCTGACCTGATAAGGTGTTCTCCAAGGTGTCTGAGGTGGGGAGAGGGAAGAAGTGGCAGGAACCAGCCAGAAGGACTGGACCCGCTGAGTGTGAGCAGGTGCACAGAGCTGAGCTGAGCAGCTGAGCGCGGGGGCAGGCGAGTGCGGCGGGCTGCAAATGCTCTGCAGCCTGAGAAACTCCCACAGCACCTGATCTAAAGTGGAGATGGCCGCAGGCTTCTCTCCAGCACGCTTCTCCTCTGTCCTGTAGATAATTGTTCCGATTCAGTTTCTGTTGTCTTCAGTCATCAGTCTGTAAGTCTTTCTGTCCATGGCCAGCTAGCGCTGGAGGCTAAGCGGAGCGAGGCGCTGCCGCTCTAGCCTCTAGCCGGTGCGTGCAGAGCGGGCTTTCTGCAGCTGCCCTTTATAGATAAAGTCCAGGTACCCGCGCGGGAGCCAATGGAGAGGCGCAACTCAGCCCCCGCCCTGTCCCTCTGGGCCTGGCGCCTGAAAGGCTGGTAAAGTCTTTGCGGCTCCAGTCTCAAGCCCCTCCTTTCGCCTCTCTCCTTTGGCTCTCCTTTCCCAATCCTGCAGTTGGGAGCATGGATTTATGTGATGGATTCTTCTTTTGACTCTTCCCTCCCCATTATCTGCTTTCACCGTCTCCTCTTTCCCTTGCTTTCTAGTTCTTTTCTCCACCACCACTCCAAGCACCGGCTAGCTGTGGTACAAGGTATTGAATGGGGACTATGGAGACAGTAGCGTTTGGACCTGCGAGCGAGGCAAGCTGCCTGGGGAGATTGCTCGCTATCAAAAACCTGCAGATTTGGGGTTTTCGTAGAGAAAATGAGACAGAGTGCCATTGGAAAATCAGGAGGGAAAACTAATTTTATATAAAAAACCGAGGGTCCCCTGAAGTCGGCTCAACATGATTCTCTGCTTTCTCTACCCTCAAAACTGCGTGCAGCCACCAGGAAATTCTGCTCCTGCCCTCTGGAGACACTGCACCCTCCTGACACCCAGGAAGCAACACTTCCGGAAACTAGACTGTGTCAAGTTAGTCATCAGGCTAAAGGGTGAGTCCCTGAGGAATGTTTAGGATTTGGAAAGCTTCTGCAAATCAATGCTGCCAGAGTCTAAAGCAGCAGAAAGGAGATGGATCTTATTCAGTGTAGTTGCAGTGGAAGAGTCTAAGGCTGGTGGTCCCAGGCTACCTTTTCAGGTAATTTTCAGCTACATCTCCAGTCCCAGAGGTGTTAGAATCACAACCAGAACAAGTAAACTGCCTCTCTAGAGAGAATGTGGAGGACCTAGGTCTTTCATAAAGTGTTATTTCCCTATTATCTGTCACTCGTCTCCCACTAATTTGTATGTAGAGAAACTGAGGCTTGAGGCATATGTTAAGGAAGGTCAGAGAAAAAAAGGAAGTTGAAGCAACAGAACTAGAAACAAGAATGGGGAAGCCTGGGCATTCAGAGACCTTTACTTTGCAGCAAGCTGTCATTTTGTTTAAGAAACCCTGGTGTTGGCAACAGATAGTCTCATGACTTCCTAGCCACCCTTTACTGCCCAGGGACTGCACCTCTATTCTAGAGGAAACAGAAAGGAAGATATTATATCTCAATAATGTCACTAGTTACTTATTAATGCATAACCAGACACTGATTTATCACCATCACCATCCCTGTCATTGTCCAGGCTTCAAAGATCACCGAGCAGCCTTGAAAAAGACAAGCAAACTTCTGCCACACTTGCCTGTGTGTTTCTGCACTGAACATGTCTTTCTGCTTATGTATTAAGAAAGTAAAGCACTGAAGGCGATCTGAGGGTGTCACAGTCTTTCTGGGGTGCTGTGTCTTGTAGGGAGACGGAGGTAGACAAGCTAATAGTGAATAGCTGATCACAGAGGAGCAAATTATGTTTTTCTTGATGGCACACAGACCTGAGATATTTAAATAAACACATTTGAAAGATTAAGTAAATTTTAGTTCTATTACACAGCTCCATCCTAGAGCTGGCACTAAGTCAGGGTATGTAAATCACTGCTCCCTAGATTGATCCTTATGCAAAGCTTTCATAAGACGTTTTTCAAAGTATATCAACTTGGTATCCAGGAGAAATCTTCTCTTTGTTCAGTGCTAACCTAACTTCCACGGTTTCCAAATGACTTAAGATAAGGTGGTGATATAGGCTTGAAAACTTCTAAAATCTAACTAAAATGCAGGGTAGCAATATTAGGGTTCTGTTATAATCAGAAATGCAGGAGCAGGACCATGATTGCTAATGTGTGATGTTGGCCTGTACTAGCATGTTATCGGTATTCCTCATTCTCTTTGGCCTCTGAACCAGATTTTCTGCATCTGTCAAAAAAGGGGTTGGGAAAACTTAGCTTTCATAGGAGTGTGCATTCAATACAACACTAATAGTGCATTCTGTAAAGAGAAATGATGTATATCACCTCACACTGACATTCTCACACATTTTTAAACTTGGAGCCCAGTTTCATTAATGTGTATTAGTTGTATAAATTAATGGGGATCACTAAGGCACTTTCATATATGTTTATAATTAATTTTTCATATTTTACCCCATTACTCTCCCCTCAACACACTTGTCCCTTTTCTTCCTCACATTGTCCCTCGTTTGTTTTAATGCCTCTTTTCCCTCTAAATTATGCTTTTGACAGAAAACATGTGATACTCAGCTTTTTCGTTTGGTTGTTTTTTTGACACCACATTTTGCTATCAACTAGGCTAGACTTAAACTTCGGATACTCCTTCCTTAACCTCATGAGTACTAGGATTACAGGCATGTCACACCAAACCAGGCTCAGTGATTGCCTTTGTGAATCTCACTCATTTGTCTCTGATACTATTGCTGTCTCTCTTTTCCTGTATTCCGGGTCCTGATACAAATGTGAGTTCTTTTCTCTTTTTGTTTTGGAGACAGGGTCTTCTTGTACCCAAAGACGACTTAGAATTCTCTACGAACTCGGCCTGTAGACCAGGCTGGCTTCAATCTCACAGAGATCCACCTTCCTCTACCTCTCAGGTTTTGGTGTTAAAGGCATATGCCATCACACCTGGCATGTGAACTCTTCTTGGCTGTCAAGACCTCAGTGTCCATGAATTACCCGAGACCTTGCAAGGTATGTTCTGAAACACAGTACCCTTAATACCCAAGGTGGAAGTCTTGGGACCAGTAAGCCATCTGTGTTTCCCGTCAATCACTGGAAGAGGGAGTCAGAGATTGGAAGCAGAAGAGCTCTGCATAGTCTCTATTCCTGAGAAGCTTGAAATTGCACTAAAGGGAAGAAACCACACCCAGGAAATAGTTAATTACAGGAAGCCATAAGATATGCAGACAATCAGAGCTATAGGAACAAATAGTACAAGATGAGGACAGAGGAAGCTTTGCAGACAAACTAGCATTTGATATGGGGGTGGGGACAGTGCAAATTACCCAAAGGACAGAAATGGGCAGAGAACAGGAGAAATTAAAGCATCAACCCCCAAAGTAGGTATAATACAAAGAGCAGAAATGCTTCTGGTTTGTTCCAGGTACAGAAAATAAATGTTTTCAGTAGAAAGTTTAGCATTTGTTGTTCCTATGCATTTCTCTAGCACTGTGATCTTTTTCTGAGTATTTCCATGGAGATGGTGTAGTTGAGATTAGAGGCAAATAGTTACATAGCATGGATGCTGGAAGAGAAATATGCCATTGTACAATAAGAACCAGGAAAAGCAATTCACACATGCAATACTTTCGAGTTACCTGCTCATCTAGAACTATTTTGCTTCTCTCCTCCATTCTAGTCTCTCTGTCCTCTTTTACAATCAGACATTTGATGCTGAAAGAGATATCAACTATTCTCAGATAAATTCAACCTTCTCTCTGGGCCTTAACAATGAGCTACTCACTATACCCAAACCAAAATATTTTCCATGAGAACTTTAACAGTCCAATCTATAGAAAATACAGGCCAAATTAATCTCATTAGAAAATCCACTCTAACCCTCAATGACAAGTAAGCTTCCTCTCAGGCATAAAGCTTCAAGTTCTCACAATTGTGTTCCTCTGGGGGTGCTCTGTCTTGGTGCAAACCATTTGACTATTCTTCACAATGGGTATTCTCCCCCGTAAATTTACTGTAACGTCTGCCTTTTGAGTCTTAAAAAGGAAAACAATCAATTAAGCAAACAAAATCATGCACAACAGGAATAAAGTACCTGTATTATCCACTAAATCAATGGTGTCAAACTTGTTTTCCAAGTCCACAGTGGGGAAAAAAAACCCTCAATTTTTCCCAGTGGGTCTCTGGATGCCCTACTTATTGCTTGTATACTGACAAAGGAAAGAGAAATCACACTTGTTCATTGTGCCTCAGCATTCAGAGAATGTTGACATTTTACTTCTAAACGTAAAAGTCCAGTGGATCAGGAAGAACAATCAAATTCTGCATTGGTCCCAAACCCGACTTGATCTTCCTAAGACAAGAAGTCCTTTGACACAAAGGAAAATCCTGATACAAACTCCTCTGGGTCTCACCTTGGCCCTTATCCTGCTTTTTCTGGTCTCTATCCAACTTTCATTTCAAATCCTTGTAAGTTCTTTCAGTTATCCTGTCAATAACTCAAATTCCACTCAGCTTAGTGTCCTTATCTAATATCTGGTGATGGTCATCACCTTTTAACTTTCAACACAATTCCTCCAAACTGATTACTCACTGAATTGGTTGGCCTCTCTGTTCCTGAGTGATCATTAAAACTAGTGACCAAATCAGTCACCCCCCCTTTGGATGCTACACCAGGCTTACAAGTCTGTTATTATAATAATCATCTCCTATTGGGGATAGTACATTCTGATGTTTCACCTGCTGCCTTGTAGAGCTCCAGAGCCAGATCCTGATTTTACTCCCATATTTCATCCTTTCTGCTGTCTTTTTTCTCTCTGT